TTTCATATAAACTTTAGACGTGTTTGTTCTGGTTCTGTGAAATATGTCATTGGTATTTTGCTGGGGATTGCATTGAATCTATAGATTGCTTTGGGTAGTATGGACATTTTAATGATGTTAATTTTTCCAATCCATGAACAAGGTTTGTGCTTCCGCTTTTTTATATCTTTCTTTATTTCTTTTTTCAATGATCTATAGTCTTCTGTGTAGAGCTCCTTTACTTCCTTTGTTAATTTTATTCTTAGGTATCTTAATTTTTTTTGCCACAATGGTAAATGGGATTTTTTTTTTTTTTAGTTTTTCTTTCTGTGAGTTCATCATTGGTGTAAAAAATACCATCGACTTCTTGACGTTAAATTTGTATCCTGCTACTTTGCCAAATTCATTTATTAAGTCTAGTAGTTTTTTGATGGAGTCTTTAGGGTTTTCTATGTACAATAACATGTCATCTGCAAATAATGAGTTTCACTTCCAACTTTCCAATTTGGATCCCTTTTATTTTTTGTTTTTGTCTAATTGCTGTGGTTAAGACTTCCAGTACTATGTTGAATAAGAGAGGCAAAAGTGGGCATCCCTGTCTTGTTCCTGTTCTTAAGGGGAATGCTTTTAGTTTTTGTCCATTGAGTATGATGTTGGCTGTAGGTTTTTCATATATGGCTTTTATTATGTTGAGATATGATTTCTCTATTCCCACATTGCTGAGTATTTTTATCAAAAATGGGTGCTGGATTTGCCGAATGTTTTTTTTTTAGCCTCTATTGATAGGATTATATGGTTTTTATCTTTCATTTTGTTTATGTGGTGTATCACATTTATTGATTTGCAAATATTGTACTAGCCTTGCATCCCTGTGATTAATCCCGCTTGGTCATGATGAATAATTTTTTTTATGTATTGCTGGATCCGATATGCAAATATTTTGTTAAGGATTTTAGCATCTGTGTTCATCAGGGATACTGGCCTGTAGTATTCTTTCTTTGTAGTGTCTTTACTCAGTTTTGGAATTAGGATTATGCTGGCCCCATAAAATGAGTTTGGAAAAGTTCCATTTTCTTGGATTTTTTGAAATAGTTTGAGGAGAATGGGTATTAGATTTTTTTTGAATGTTCGGTAAAGTTCCCCGTGAAGCCTTCCAGGCCTGGGCTTTTCTTAGCTGGGAGTTTCTCTTGTTTCTTGAGGTAGTCCTGTAGTGCTGTGAACTTTTCTCTCAGGACTGCTTTCACTGAGTCCCATAGATTTTATTTTGTTGTCTGTTCATTTTCGTTGTTTTCTAGGAAGTTTTCTTATTTCTTCTTTCGTCTCCTTGATAACCCATTTCTTGTTTAATACCATGCCATTTAGTCTTCATATATTGAATGTTTTTGTTGTAATTGATTTTTAGTTTAATGCCATTGTGATCTGAGAAGGTCATTGATATGATTTTATTCTCCTTGAAGTTGTACAGACTTAGTTTGTGTCCTCACATGTGGTCTGTCTTTGAGAATGTTCCATGTGCACTTGACAAGAATGTGAATTCTGCAATATTCAGTTAATTCTTTGTAGATACCTATTAAATCTATTTGATCTAGTGCATCATTTAGAGTCTCTGTTTCCTTGTTAAATTTTTGTCGGGAGGATCTATCCAGTGATGTCAGTGAGGTGTTAAAGTCCCCTGATATGATTATATTGGTATCGATTGCTATTTTGAAGTCCTTCCAAAGTTTTTTAATGTATTTTGGTGCTCCTATATATGGTTCATATATGTTTATCAAGGTTATATATTCCTGTTGAATAGATCTTTTCACTATTATTTGGTGGCTTTCTTTGTCTCTAGTTATGGCTTTTAATTTGAAGTCTGTTTTATCAGATATGAGTATAGCTTCCCCAGCTCTTTTTTATTTTTTGTTTGCTTGGAGGATTTTTTTCCATCACTTCACTTTCAATCTCTGTGAGTCTTTTGTTTTTTGGTAGGTCTCTTGTAAACAACATATTTATGAGTCATGCTTTCCTATTCGTTCAAGTACTCTGTGTATCTCTCTCTTTTTTTTTCATCCTCACCCAGGGACATTTTTCCATTTTTTGTTCAGATAGAATGGGAGGGAGAGAGAGGAAGAGAGAGAGAGAGAGAGAGAACCATCAACGCAAAAGTGATACATCGAGTGGTTGCCTCCTGCATAACCCAAACAGGGCCAGGGACAAACTGCAGCCAAGGTACATGCCCTTAGCAGGAACCAAACCCAGGTAAGGACTGCAGACTGACACTCTTACCACTGAGCCAAACTGGCCAGGGCTACTCTGTGTCTTTTTATTACAGAGTTTAGTCCATGTTATTATTGATTTGTGCTTATTTATTGCCATTTTTGTTTTTTGTTGTTGTATTTTCTTTCTATTCCTTCTGCTAATTACAACAGGCCTTTTAACATATCTTGCAGTGCCGGTTTGGTGCCAATATAGTGCCTTAGCCGTTTTTTGGTCTGGGAAGCTCTTTATTTCACCTTTTATTTTGAATGATAGTGTTGGCTAGAGTAGTCTTGGATTCAGATCCTTGTTTTTCATGACCTTGATTACCTCATGCCATTCCCTTCTGGCCTGTAGTGTTTCTGTTGAGAAGTCAGCGTATAGCCTTTTGGGGGTTGATTTGGAGGTAACCTGTTGCTTATCTCTTGCTGCCTTTAGGATTCTCTCTTTGTCTTTAATTTTTGGCATTTTAATTATGATCTGTTTTGGTGTTTGCCTCTTTGGTTTCTTCTTATTTGGGGCTCTCTGTGCTTCTTAAACTTCCATGCCTTTCCTTCACCAAGTTAGGGAAGTTTTCTCTCAGTATTTTTTTGAATATATTCTATAAGCCTTGCTCATTTTCTTCTTTCTCTGGGAATTCTATGATGTGGATGTTGTTATGTTTCATGTTTGCCCACAGTTCTCTTAAGCTGTGTCTTGTTTTTCCTTTTTGTTTTGTTTTGGTATGTGCCCCTAGCGGGAACCAAACCCGGGACTCTCTGGTCCACAGGCCAACTGTTCCAACTGCTAAGCCAAACTGGCCAGGGCTGTTCTTGTTTTTTGATTGTTTTTTCTTTTTGTTTCTCTGATTGGGTCGTTTTTTCTACTGTCTTCTAATCTAGTCATTGGTTCCTCGGCTTCCTATACATTGCTGGTTATTTTTTCTAATGTGTTATTTCTGCTGTGTTATTCTTCATTTCAGTTTGGTGTTTTTTCATTTTCAATTAGTTGATTTTCAGCATTTCCACTTTTTTTTTTTATCCTCACTCGAGTAAATTTTGCATTTATCTTCAAATAGAGCGGTAGGGAGAGTCGGAGGAAGAGAGAGAGACGGAAACATCTATGTGAAAGAAACATCTATGTGAGAGAGAAACATCGAGTGGTTGCCACCCACACAACCCCAACGGGGGGCCGGGGACAGAGTGTAACTAAGGTTCATGCCCTTAGGGGAAACCAAACCCAGGACTCTCTGGTCGGCAGGCTGATGCTTTAACCGCTGCGCCACACCAGCCATAGCTATTTCTATATCTTTACTAATGCTGTTGAGCTCTTTACTCATGCTGTTGAGCTTCCTTAAGATCATGGCTCTGAACTCTACCTCTGATAACTTGCTTAATTGCATTTAATTTATCTCTTGTGTAGAGTTCTGTTATTCTTTAATTTGGGATTTGTGTATTTTTTTCACCATTTTGGCTGTCTCATCAGTGCAGTTTGGATCCTGCCAAATTTTCCCTGTGTTGGTTGGTGTTACGCTGATTGTGGCTCCCTCTATTGGGTTTGGATGATTGTGGGAGAACCCATGTTAAACACCACTCTCACATCTTACTTTCCTGGGTGGATTTTCTGGCCAATCAGAGCTTCAGTTTTCCTCTAGTTTTTGCCTGCTAGCTATTTGTCTCAGTTACTTGATGAGCCTTGGGTTGTAGTCCTCAACGAATGAAAACATCCCTCAGGTGTTCAGGGTAAGTTGATTTCCTATAGGTGAGGCAGTTGCTTGCTGGACATCTGTTGCTGTTAATGAGCATCAATTTGCATTTCTCTGGCCTGGCCAGATGGTGTTAAGTTTCACAGGGAAGGGCTGTTACTTCTCCCTGGGGCTCTCAGCAAAGGCTTTTTGAGTAAAATGGCTACTGTCCTTTGGTGGAGTGATTTCAGCACAAAACTCCTGGTGCCCTCCTAGCTCTCTAAACTTCCAAGTCTCTCCCTACAGTTCCAATCCAGTCGGCCTTCCCTCTGCCAGAGCTCAAGGTTGGTGGCTATAGCTAATTTAGTTCTCTCTTCTGGCACTCTGCACTGTGGAGCTGACTTGGGATTTTAACTTTGAGGGAAATGCTCACAACGTAAACAGCCCTTAGCTGCTGTCCATGAGTTCCCATCCTGCCCCATCTTGCACCTCCACATTTCCTAACAGGGTCGATTTGGTGTCCTCTTTTTGTGCCTGGTTATATGGGTTCCCTCCAGCTGCTTTTCTGTTGGTTTTTCCCGATGGTTTGTTTTTATTTCAGTTGTAATTCCAGTTTGGTCCTAGGAGATGGTCTGTGTAGCTTTTATTCACTTTGTCACCATTTTTCTTAATCAAGACCATTGATGTTTAAAGTAAGAATTGATGCAGTTAGATTGGTAGCTACCATATTTGTTACTGTTTTCCATTCTTTGCTCTTATTTTTTGTTTCTAATTTTGTCTTCTATTCTCTACCTTTTGTAGTTTTTGTGATTATATTTTTTGTACTTAGCATATCAGTTACTTTAAAAAATGTTTTTATTGATTTTAGATAGAGATGAAGGGAGAAGGAGAAAGAAATTGAAACATCAATGAGAGAATAACATCGATTGGCTGCCTCCTGCACACCCACTACAGTGGATGGAGTCCAAAACCTTGGGCATGTGCCCTGACTGGGAATCGAGCTGGTGACCTCTTGGAGAATGGGATGATGCTCAACCACTGACTGAGTCACATCTGCTGGGCTCAGTTACTTCTATAAAGTTTTTTTAGTCATTGCCTTAGAATTTGTAATATATATTTAAAAAATAGGTAATGTCTCATGAATTTATATGTCATCCTTGTATGTGACCAAGACAATCTCTATATTTTTCCAATTTTAGTATATGTACTGTTGAAGTGAGCACCTAATGTGCTTTAGTTTTATCCTGAGGGACTTCCTTGCAGTTCTTTTTTAGTTGGATATGATCAGCCTCAACAGCAGACACTGATGTAAGGCTGACATGAACATGTGTCCCTGAGTGCCAGCCCAAGATCCCATATTCTTCTGAGAGTAGAAAATCCTCCTGGTTTTATCACTGACTGGTGTCTCCTACATCCTTGCTTTAGTTTTAGGTTGAACCCCACAGGCAGATGCTTCAGAATTCTACAATTTTACTGTTGCATGTTTTAAGGACATTTTTGTTCCCAGATATCACTGCTCCTTCATCTTCAGAACTGCCATTTCTTCTGTGGAGATGAAAAACACCAATAAGCCACGTATGTTGTAGAACATAATGTGATCACAGTTCTTAGGCTAACCAAGTAACATTGTTATTCTTTTTTATTTTTTTAAACAGATGTGATGTTTACTGGTACAGCAGATGGCCGGATCATAAAATTTGAGAATGGTGAAGTAGATACCATTGCCCAGTTTGGGTTGGGCCCGTGCAGTAAGTCAGTGACATCCCTCCCCCACCCAAGAAAATGTATGTCTCTTCTAGTCATTCAGAAAGAGGCCAGATGGCCTTGTGTAAGTCAGAGACTTACAGATTGTCGGAGAAAAAGAGCCCTGATCATCTGGCAGATAGCCTGATTTGGGTGTTATCACATGCTTTTTATTGGCCAGTGGTACTTGGACCTCATGGTACCTGATTGTCACCCTTCATTGAAGTTTCCCAGCTAGGCAGTGGCCATGGCACCTGCTGGTTACTTCTTAGCTCTACCCCTCGCCATTCTGAAGAGGCTTGTGCTGACTTTTGAGGTAACTTGAAGATTAATAGGTGTTGTCCAAGTGCTACTATGGCATAGCAGTCGGCTTTGTCATTACTTGGATGCTTAAATGTGATTCTTGCATCAGCTTCTTAGGAATTTCAGTAGTGCCATTCAAAGTGAAAATATCCTGAAGTCACTCCAACTTTAGAAGACTAGGGTAGAAGAATCTTACTGTTTAAACACTGGTAGTCCTGTTCTTATTGTTTTTTTAATAGCTGAAATCTTTTTGTAAAAATGATGCATTTTCAGTGGGAAATGTGAACAACACAAAGGTACAGAGAAGTAAAAGTCACCCCAGAGTCTACTCAGATGTAACTGTTATTAACATTTTAATGAGTAACTTTTCAGATATCTTTCTATTGGTGGGTACTTATAGCCACCCATGGTTATATGGATTAGGGTCATACTCTACATTTAGTTCTCTAGCCTGCCTTTTCCCACTCCGTATTTAGGCTGTAAGTGCCCTCTAGTAAGCACATTGTAGTAAGCATCCTGTTGTAAGCACTCCTGAACATTCTACTTTAAGCATTCCATAGTAAGCACCCCATAGTGGTCACCCTTCAGTAAGTACCCACAGTAAGCACCCTACAGTGGGTATTCTTCAGCAAGTACCCACAATAAGGACCCCAAAGTGGGCAGCTTGCAGGAAGCACCCCATAGTAGGCACCCTGGAGTAAGGATCTCCGCAGTAAGCAGCTAGCAGTGAACACCCTGTAGTAAATATGCACTGCTACACATTTTTATTTTTTTAATCCTCACCTGAGGATAAGTTTTACTGATTTTAGAGAGAGGGGAAGGGGAAGACAGAGAGAGAAACATCCATGTGAGAAACATCGATTGGTTTCCTCCCGCACATGCCTCAACCCAGGATCAAACCCACAACCTAGGCATGTGCCCTGACCAGGAATCTAACTGGCAACCTTTTGGTAGAATGAACAGTACTCAACCAACTGAACCACACTGGCCAAGGCCCCACAGGTTTTAAAAGAGTGTAGGTAGTAGAGCAAGAGAGTTAATCTAAGGAATAAAATAAACTCTCCTTTTATACCAGGCAGAGAGAAAACCATCATGTTCCTAGATAGACAGATTATCCAGATCAGGCTGTTGAGATTAACCTCCCAAGTCCTGAAGTTCTGTGGAGCTTCTGAAAATGAGGCCTGGGTCCTGATTATGCCCCTGAGTTAACTTAAGTTCAAGTCTCAGGATGCTGATGTGAACATGATTCTTTGGTACCCATTGCTGTGTATATGTCCGGGTCTGGATTCTCAAGTGGTCCATCTGAACGTGCTGGACAATTGTCCTTAATTCTAGGGGGCTGGAATACTGGGGGGCGGGTCTGCCTCCAATGTCATGGTCTTTTTTGTTCTCTAAAATATATTTAGGAAGGAATGGTTGGATGAGATGCTTGTCCACTAGTGGGGCCACAGACAGAATCTTAGACTAGTCACTGATTCTTGTCCGTTTGTTTCCCTAGAAACCCGAGATGATGAGCCTACTTGTGGGAGACCCCTGGGCATCCGGGTGGGGCCCAACAGGACCCTTTTTGTGGCCGATGCATACAAAGGACTATTTGAAGTAAATCCCTGGAAACGTATGTGACAATATCTTATTTTCTTCTTTGATGATTTCAGATTTTTTAAACAATATGTGCATAAGTGGATGTAATAGAATTTGTTCAATACATTCAACTAGAGACTCTAATATTTTCTTACTCGTTGAATAGTACTGAAAGCGTTGTTTTATAAATATCAAGTAGTATAAACTTTCAAATCTGTACTTGTGTGCATTTAGTCAGTATTCTAACTTTCTCTGGCATTTGTATTTTAGCCGTGGGTCTCAAGAGGACTTATTTTGAGGATATTAGACCTCCTCCTTTCCTCTTTATTTTTTTTGTGTTTCTCTTGATTTCCTGTCTTCCTGTTTGTTTCCTGCCTTTTAGTCTTCTCTTATCCTTACCCTTCATCTCTGATTTTTTATTTTCTTTCTCCAGCTCCTTCTTCTGTTCCTTTCCCCTGACTGGCCATGATGTCATCTTGACCAGCAGTATAACATTCGCTGTGTATGCTTTGACAGGGAGGGTCATACTATGGAGGAGTTAATAATCATGGGTGGTGCGTGAGACCCTGGGTTCAGGCACTGCAGACCCATTACATGAGTCTGCTGTGCCATTGGCTGGCGGTGTGACTATGCAAGTTACTTAGCCTCTCTGTGCACACTTTCCTCATCCATGATACAGATAATGTAGTTGCCTGCCTTGTGGGATTGTTGTGGAGGTTTAAATGATATATATGGAAAGAGCTTAGCACTCAATAAATATTTGTTCTACTATTTAAAAAATTACTCTTAGTTTTTATTTTAAAAGCAGATGAGTAGAACATTTTATATTTCTCTCAAGCAAACAAATAAAAATTTGCCTTTTTACCTAAGACTTCTAACAGACTTTTAAGTCAGTTGGTTTCGATAAAAGAAAGTTCTTCATTCTTAGAGGAAGGGTTTTGCTTTAATGTAGTTAGTTAAAAAAAAAAAAATCAGCTAACAGGTGAAAGAAAGGAAAGCAATGTACTTTACTGTGAGGAGGAATAAATCTGACATGGCATCGAGAAGGTCATTTTAGTTTTTCTTTTTAAATCAGGCTAATTAATATTTAGAAATTATTATGATGCAAGTTCTTAGAATGAAAGCAAGTCTCTCTCTTTTTTTCTTCTTTCTTCATTTCTTTCCTTCTTCTCTTCCTTGCTACTCCAGGTGAGGTGAAATTGTTGCTGTCCTCTGACACACCCATTGAGGGGAGGAAAATGTCCTTTGTGAATGATCTTACAATAACTCGGGATGGGAGGAAGATTTATTTTACGGATTCCAGCAGCAAATGGCAAAGACGAGATTATCTGTTTCTGTTTATGGAGGGAACGGATGATGGGCGGTAAGTGTATATTTCATATCTTCTGTTCAGTGAGATCATCAGTCAGGCAGAGTAACTTTAGCAGAGCTGATTACTCCTAGGAATCTTTGGAGTGTTTCTGAGCATAATATTTTAGCATTTAAGATAGGATCTTACTGGCTTCTGGAAACAAGTGATAGATGCAACCAAACAGAGCAAAGTGATCCAGCCCTGACCAGTTTTTCTCAGTGGTTAGAGCATCGGCCTGTGGACCAAAGGGCCAAGGGTTCAATTCCCGGTCAAGGGCACCTGCCTAGGTTGCAGATTTGATCCTTGACCCTGGTTAGGGTTATTTGGGAGGCAGCCAATCAATGTATCTCTCTCACATTGATATTTTTCTCTCTCCCTCACTCCCACCCTCCCTTCCACTCTAAAAATGAATGGGAAAATATCCTCAGGTGAGGATTAACAACAACAATAAAAATAGTCCAGTCCATGTGAAGGTGTAGTCTAGGCAGTCTGGGAGAGACCTGAGACCTACAAGTAGGCCTGGATTTTAGGTCACCTTTCTTTAAAAAAATTTTTTTTTCTTTATTGATTTGAGAGAGAGAGAGATATCGAAACATCGATGAGAGAGAACATCAACTGGTCGCTTCCTGCATGCTCCCCACTGGGGATTGGGCCCACAACTTGGGCATGTGTCCTGACAGGGAATCGAACTGGTGACCTCTTGGTGCATGGGTTGATGCTCAACCACTGAGCCACACCAGTTGTACTAGGTCGCCTTTCTAAAAGGGAACTCATGTGAGGCTGGAGCCATGGTGGTTCCCCTGGTGCCGAGCCAGCTCCCAGGTCAGTGAGAGAACTGACTGAGGGATGTCTAGAAGAGAATGCCTGGGCCTGCCCTGGATGGAGAAGGGCTCCTAGAAGCCAGCCTGAGATCAGATCTGGGCAGGGGACCACCAGGGTCTTGTCACTCCTGTGTGAGGCTGAGTCCCCTTCCTCAGGTCCCTGCCCAGAAAAGAGCAAGGCTCCAGCCCAGCAGAGGGGTTGTGGACTCTCCCTGTGTGACTCTTTGCTGTTGGCACCCACAGCCTGCTAGAGTATGATACTGAGACCAAGCAAGTAAAGGTTTTACTGGACCAGTTGCGGTTCCCTAATGGAGTGCAGCTTTCTCCTGCAGAAGACTTCATCCTGGTGGCAGAGACAACCATGGCAAGGATAAGAAGGTGCGTGTAGCATCTGCTGAGCTGTCAGTGTTCACCAGAGAGTGTTGTGCCTGAATGGGCATGGAGGTGTTGATTGAGAGAATATGAGAATCATCAGGGCACCTTTTTCTTTGTGTAAAAATGCTAAACATTAAACTCAAGGGTGTGTTTTCTTTTTCTTATTTCTCAGCCTACTTAAGCATCTTAGTCAGAGTCTTAATTTAATGCTGACTGCACATCCCAGGTCCCTTCCCTCCCAGTGGGTCTTGGTCTATCATCTTTTTCCTAAACTGGGTCTAGCTGGGCCCAGGGTTCGTGAGTATCTCTTTCAGCAACTGCACTTTTGTTCATAATGGACATGTTTCTAGTTGTTTCATAAACTTATTGGAACCATGACTAATTTAGTGTTTGGCTAAAAATTTTTTCATAAATTTAGGGGCTGCTGTTTATACCTGCTTGGGTGAATTTTTCAGATTCTACGTATCTGGCCTGATGAAGGGAGGGGCCGACCTATTTGTGGAGAACCTGCCTGGATTCCCAGACAACATCCGGCCCAGCAGCTCCGGGGGGTACTGGGTCTGCATGGCAAACATTCGCTCCAACCCTGGGTTTTCAATGTTGGATTTCTTATCCGAGAGACCTTGTATTAAAAGAATGATTTTTAAGGTAACTAAAACTACAATTTCCAAAACCAAAACTATAATTAGAAGATGCATCTAATTATGATCTCTTTTAATTTATAACTCTAAAAATTCTAGTATTTATAACATTTAGTATTTTTAATGACTTCTTTAAAACACCTTTTATTATTCAGCCTGACATGTAAACTTAAACATTTGGACCCTTTGATTTTTTTCTTCTGGTTTTATCGTCACCTTCAGCATACCTTTCGGGGGTCTCTACCTTGTCTGTCAACTTTACTCTTCCTGCTCTGAGATGACTTTTTCAGACCTTCTGCCTTCTCCACCAGATCCTGCAACATGGCCTTCTCCTCCCTGCCAGCAGATGACACTGCTCCTCCTCAAAAGGGTTATCCAGTATCTCTTCCTGTGGCCATACATGTAAACTCACCTTGGGCCCCCATTCTGCCTTGCTCCCTCCTGCCTTCTTGGAACCCTCCCGTCAGTCACCCCTCTCCATAGGTTTTTGCCCTTTTATATCTTAGCACACCAAAATATTTTCAATAAAAATCATCCACCCTCACCAACGGTGAGCAGACCCTTCTACACAGTCTTTAAATTGTTCATCATCCTACCTTTTTTTCCAGTGACTTTCATGAAATACCCCAAATGTAACTTAACACATTTTACAATGGGGATTAGTCACTTGCTGATATAGGTACTTCTGTCATAGAAATTTTATTTACCAAAAAGCTCCATTTTATGGGTTGAATGGTATTTGAAGTTGATATTGACCATTTGAATAGATATTAAAATATTTGTAACTTAAAGTTCTGAAAGGTACCCGGCAGCAATTACTGAGTCCATGCGGTACCAGGCCCTGTGTCTGGGCCCCAGCAAGGGACTGTATCCACCTTCTCAGTCAGGCTGTTCCATGGCCTTCAGTGTTGTTCTGAGTTTATTGGTCAGTATAGAAAATTCTGATATGTTCAGAAATAATACATTCCTCTTCTTTGTCTTGTTGGCCTCAGAGCCAATATCTGTTCCCATTGAAATCTAGGAGGAGGCAGAATGGTAGGGTGGTCAAGAAGAGGAGTTTTGAAGACCACATCAACTGATCCTGAGCAGATGTGGTCTCTCTGCTTTAACTTCCTCATTTGTCAAGTGGAAAGAATAATAGCATTTCATTAGGTGCTGAAAAATGTAATGAGAATATGCACATGGTGCCCTTAGCTGAGTGTAGTAAGTGTTCAGTTTCTGTACCTGTCAGTTTTTCTTCAGCAAGGATGTGATCTCTTGGTGGTATTTGTCTCTCTCCCTTCATAAGTGTGGGCTTCATTTGAGCAGGTATTTTTTTCTGTTTAATTTACTCCATTTTCCATAGCATCAAGAACAGTGTCTGGCACATAGTAGGCACTCAGTTACTGTTGAATAAATGAGTGAGCCCTGGCCAGTTTGGGTCAGTGGTTAGAGCATCAGCCCGTGGACCAGAGAGGCCCAAGTTCGGTTCCTGCTAGGGGCACATACCTCGGTTGCAGTTTGTCCCTGGCCCCGGTTGGGGTTGTGTGGGTGGCAACCAGTCGATATGTCTCTCTCACATCAATGTTTCTTTCTCTGTTTCTCTCTTCCTCCCTCTTTCCCTCTCACTCTATATGAAGATAAATGCAAAAAGTGTCCTCAGGTGAGAATAAATAAATAAATAAGTAAATGAGTGACACCATAAATATGAGATAGAATTGCAGTGGTGGGATGTATTCCTGGTGACAGAGAACATGGGTGAGTTCCCTGGGGCAGGAGAGACCTCAGCATCCACATATGACCAGAGATATGACAGACAGAGAACAGGTGGGAGAGTGGCTGAAGATCACTTGACTTGTAGGAGGTTAGATTTAATTCAAAATGTGATCGAAGTCATTGGGATTTTTTTTTTTTTAGTTTTGAGACAATATTAGACGTAGGAAAGTAGCAAGAATAGTACAAATAACTTTTTTCAAGAATTGTTTGCAAGTAATTTGTTGACTTGATGCTCCTCAGATACTGTAGTGTATTTCCTTCAACAAGGACATTCTCCCTCAAGACCACCTGCCCAAACAGGAAATTTACATGGATACCTACCTGCCGGCGTCTAACCCGCATACCCTACTCACAGTGCTCCAGTTACCCCAGCGGTGTCCTTTAGTTATTTAGCCCAGGATCAAGCATAGCCTCTAGTCAACACATCTCTTTATTCTCCTTCAGTCTGGAACTGCTCCTCAGTTTTGACCTGTTGGAAGACTGTGCAGGTCAGTTATATTTTAGGATGCCTCTCCATTTGAGTTAGGAGGTGTTTCTTATGGTTAGATTCAAGTTTGCTTCTCTGGCAGAGAGACCACAGAAGTGAAGTTGGGTTTTCAGTATAACCTGTCAGGAAGGGCATGATGTCACATTGTCCCTTGCTGGTAATGGCAGCATTCATTACCAGATTCAGTGGCAAATGCCAGAGACTTCTCCATTGTGATTTTTCCATTTGTAATTAATGAGTATTTTGGGGGGAGGTAGTTTATAACTTAAATATCAGTATGATCTCATAGTTGCCTATTTTACTCAATGGGTCATATAATCTGCTACTATTGTTATTTATTTTGATGCTCAAATTGTCCAGCTGTGGCCAGTGAAAGCTCCTTCAGTGTAGCTCCTTGACCTTTGGACATGTATTCTATCATTCTTGGAGTGGTTCCTTGCTTCCTGGCACCACATTGTTCAGTCTTATCTTATACTTTCCCTGCCCCAGCTCTAGAATCAACCATTTCCCCAAGGAGCCCTAGTTCCTTCTAAGGGGCTAGCCTTTCTCCTGAAGGACTCTGATACCTGCATAAGATGTCCCCCAGGTAAACACCCTCTTCGTCCTGCTTGAGCTCTGACACTGTACTCCATGTCACTGGCCTCTCCCTTCCCTCAGTATAGACTCTCCCTTACCCTCTTCATACTGACTCCCTGGTCTGGGCCACTGGGGTTCCCCCACTTTCTGCACATACCTACCCTGCTTGTCTCACAAGCTGCTTTTTGACTGAATCGATTGAGAGGAGAGTAATGCATTACAAAGAATGTTTTAAAAAGATAACTAGCTGCTGCATGGAGAACAGCCTGTAGCAGGGCTCCACTGGCTTGGGGAACCCGTTGTAGTGTTCAGGAGAGGTGCTGGGCAGATCCTAGAGAGGGGTTGGTAATGCACAGCAGATGACAAGACCCCCTCAGTGCTGGGGTGGGAGAGATAGGGATTAAGCATGAAGGCTGAGTTCCTGGCATCAGGAGATGGTGTCAGGAGCCCTATTTCCTGAGCTGGGGTGTCTATTGAGTTTGAAGAGCTGTTAGAAAATCCAGGTGGAGATGGGTCCCAGGCAGTGAGGAATTTAGCACTGGGCGTCAGAGACACAGGTAGAGATTTGAGAGCTTTCTAGGAAAGTGACTAGTTAAACTAAGGAGAAGGGATGAGATCTGTTAGGGATAAGATGGAGAGGGCAGGGGCGGGGGGGGGGGGGCTGTGGCCGAAGGCAGGTGGCATTTAATGGGTCCTGGGAAGCTTAATGGAATATTTTGAGCTATAATCCAACATTGATTGCTTTAGAACCTTCAAGAATACGGTTGGCTTGTATGTCTATTTGAACATTTCTAGTGACTAGGAGACATACTTATTGGACATTTAAATTGTGTGGCCCTTTCCCCTTATATAGAAGGTAGAACTCTGCCTTTTAATTTTCATCTGTTGATCTTATGCAGTGTTATCCTTTGCCATCATTTTCTAACTGGTACCAATCCTTCCACTCTGCCAGAAATTGCATGTTATTCTTTTCTTAAAACCTTTTATTTTTTTTTTTTATCCTCACCCGAGGACATTTTTTTTTTTTTTTTTTTTTTTTCAGATAGAGAGGGAGGGAGAGAGAGGAAGAGAGAGAGAGAGAGAAACATCGACGTGAAGGGACACATCGAGTGGCTGCCACCCGCACGACCAACCAGGGCCGGGGACAAACTGCAACCGAGGTACGTGCCCTTAGCGGGAACCGAACCCGGGTCTCTCAGGACCGCAGGCCGATGCTCTAACCGCTGAGCCAAACCGGCCAGGGCTTAAAACCTTTTAAATAGCCCTGTGGACCTCTTGGCCCGGCTGAGCCAGGGCCTAGGCTCCTAGAAGGTACCTGCTCAGCATGGGAGTGTTTGATCTTTTACACTGACTACAAGGAGAGCCTAAAGCTGTTTTCATGTCTCAGAGGGCAGTGACATGTTCATTTGATGTGCTGTGGTTTTTTCTTTAACATGAACTGCTTTCAGATCTCTATCATTTGCACCTTGCACAGTTGAAATATCTTAAATATAATCAGAGGGTTTTGTATTTATTCCCAACTGGATGCTGGTTTTAGCCCAGCATTCTGGAGTCGATGTCGCTCTAGGCCTTGTTGGCCTCATGTTGTATCTTCCTTGTACATAATTTGGCTTCTGTATTCAGCCAGGTCATCCAAAGAGGTACCTATGTTGCAGGATTGGGGGGTATCATATAAGGGCTGTTGGGTAGCTACTGTCCTTGTGCTGGGTTAGCCTTGCCTCTGCATGCAAGTGACAGGAGGGAGGCTCCTTGACCTGACTTCTCAGGAGGTGGGGGTGAGGGTGGGAGACACCTGCTGTGAGGCAGGCCCTATGCTGGGAATAGAGAGCTGGTTCAGCCTGGCTCTACCCTATATGGCTTTTCCATTACTGGAAGAGCTGGGCCCTTTTTAGACAGTGAGAAGCTATGGGATCTGTTAAAAAATACAATTTGAGTGATTCATGAACCTGGCATCATCCAATCTAACAGATAAAAAGCAGCTCCAATGAGCTGTATGTCTTTTACAGGTAGAAGAGTGCAGGAACAAGGATGTCACAGTAAACAAAAATCAGGTTGGTTGTTGCAAGTTCACTTTCCTTTATGGGATGGCAGGAGTCTGTCAGACAGATTGCCTCAGTAGTGCTGATCAGGGGATTCCTGATTAACTGGTTTAAGATTTCATTTCTGGGAGAACCTAAACTGTAAATAAGTGTTTGGTGACATGGGCTTACTTTCAGTGACTCCATTGTGGGCCTGTTGTCTTGTTTATAAAAGGTTGGAACTGCTCACATTCTCTTAGTAGGTAAACTCTCCTCGCACTGTGCTTCCCTTCCAGCTGTTTAGTCAGGAGACGGTGATGAAGTTTGTGCCACGGTATAGCCTCGTCCTAGAACTCAGCGACAGTGGGGCCTTCCGGAGAAGCCTGCATGATCCTGACGGGCAGGTGGCTGCCTACATCAGCGAAGTGCATGAGCATGATGGGCACCTATACCTGGGTTCCTTCAGGTCCCCCTTCCTCTGCAGACTCAGCCTTAAGTCTATCTAGCTGCCCAGATTGCAGCTCTGATCGCGGCTGTAACAAGAGTTGGCACACTGGGCACCACACCTGGTCCAGGAGGCACCATGGACACAGCCCTTTTCACCTGAAGTATGGTGTGACCCTGCGGATGTATGTGTCTTTGTAGGACAGCCCTCATTTGGATTTGACTTTGCATTTAGAGGGAAGCATAACATATGCTGTTGGAAGATAAGTTTATGTAAAGCCATTTTCTCTTTAAAAATTCTAAGTACAGTACTTCACGCACTTTTAGCAGGCATCAGGGTTTGATGGGTAGAGCAGTAGATGAGTTGTCCAGGGATCTTATTTAGCTACTGGCTCTGACCTTTCAGCCTCATTATCTTTATTATAAAATGGGGTGATGCCTGTCTTAGGGGGAGGAGCACAGGAAGGGCAAGGATTGCTCAGTGCAAAAGTGCTTGTGTAAGTGCAGACCTTAGCACTGTATTCTCCAGAGTTGTGTGGGACATAGACCTTTGACAGAAAAGCCCTGGGCTTTTCTTTCCTTTGCTTCCACTCTCCAACCTACTCCAGCTCATAACAGGGTTTTTAAAAAAAACTCCTGAATCCCGTCAGTCATATAAAGAGAAGGACTTGAATAAGTACATAAGGGAAGCATGTTGATTTCAAAAGCTCTGAGAGGGCTAGTTGGATTTCTCTCTGAACAACCTACCACATGAATTGAATGACCCAGCAGCTAGGTGAATTTAGGGCAGTCCTCACGTCCAGACCCACAGATGTGAATAGTGCACGTGTTAATGTCATATTTGCTTGAGAGTCACAAGCCCGAAAGTTGTATGTCTACACACTGGTCATAATTTTGTCAGGGAGACCCATGTAATGATGATAATGAAATAAACTTTTATTCTCATTAGCCTTTTCTGGTGGTGTTGCCTAGGAGTTTCTTCTCTCTTTAAATATAATTATCAGTGACTGAAATTTGATTTCATCCAGTGTTGCTATGAGGATTGTTGTGGCTAGGTTTTGTTTTAGGAACAAGCAGTTTATCTGTTTTGCTCAGGACTTCTCAGGAGGCAGCAGCTGGCTCAGCCCATTGCCTTCCCTCGTGCCTCCTGGCATTGATTCATTCTTGGGTAAGTTGATATTACACTGCTCTGTTTTCTAACTTACAAAATGGGGCTAATACCTGCTTCTGAAGAAAGAACAGAGAATAGTCCTAGAGAATAGTTTGTGCTTCTGAGATAGTTTTTAAGAACTTTTGATAAAGACAATATTTTAAATAGGTAATGATACTAAAATTCAAAGAGGATTGAGAACTGTGGTAAAATCTGAACCTTTGTGTCCTGTTGTACTGGCTGGCCTTCAACCCTTTCACTCCCTTTTCCAGCTGCAGCCACCCCACAACCCCATGCCCTGGTTAGCCTCATGTTTGGGGAAGGAAGTCTAGAGTCTAGTGGTCAGCTCATCTGGTGTCACCCTCCTGAGGCTGGCTTTATATGCAGCAACAGTAGAACAGAGCCAAAGAATGGCTTCAGTCTAGTTGATGCAACCCGTGTTGTCTCAGATGAATGACTTAATATTACTTATGAAACTTTATAGGAAATAAAATTAAATATTTTAAATAGATAATGGTATACCCCACATATCAAGATATAAGAATAATAGGGTGAAACCTCATCATTCTGCCACAAAAACCAATTTAAATGTGCTGGGCCTAAATAAGTCGACTTCTTGATCGAGAAGAGAGGGCTTTGTTTTTAGTGCTTGGTTTTTACTGTTACATAAAGAAGCTAGTAAGTTGCTTTTTTTCAGTTTTCAGCAAAATAGTCTTGATTTGACTCAGATACTGATTTTCTCTCTCAAAGTGTCAGTTCCTGCATTTTATTTGGTAGTTTGCCATGGTGAGGTGCAATGTAACAGTCTATGGGTTTAAATATGTGATATACTTTCATTGGAAACATAAAGTGGATTTGCTCTAATGTGAATTACTAACATAGTTTTAAAATTAAATCAAGTTGTTCATTTACTGTATGCATCTTTATTAACTATTATAAAAATTCCATCAAGATTCAGTTACTGCTTTTTATTGGACAGATGTCCCATTTTGATATTTTTATCATCAATATACTCTTGCAGAGTGGTCTGCAGTGTTTTTGTTTTTTTTCCAATTGATTTGTTTTTGTTACAGATGTTTCTCCTTTTCCCCCATTGACACCCTCCTCTCCATCCCCCCTCCCCACCCCGTCCCCAGCTTTGTTGTCTATGTCCTTCGGTTATGCATACATGCATATAAATTCTGTGATTTATCTCTTCCCTCTCTCTACCCCCTCTTCTGAGGATTGTCAGTCTGTACCCTACTTCTATGATTCTGGGCCTATTTTGTTCATCAGTTTGTTTAGTTCATTATATTCCAGAAATAAGTGAGATCATGTGATATTTGTCTTTCTTTGCTTGGCTTGTTTCACTTAGGATAATACTTTCTAGGTCCCTCCATGTCGTCTCAAAAGATAAGAGATCTTTCTTTCTTAGAGTTACATAATTTTTCATTGTGTACATGTACCACAGCTTTTTTTATCCACTTCTCTACTGATGGACACTTGGGCTGTTTCCACATCTTAGCTATTGTAAATAGTGCTTCTATGAACATAGGGGTACATATATTTTTTCTGATTGGTGTTTCAGGCTTTTTAGTGGTCTATAGTTTTGAAAGTAATTTCACGTACACTGACCTTTTAATAATGCAAGGAGATATGGCCTCATTTTACAAATAGGAGGCTAGTGAGGAAATGACTTGCCCTGAGTCACAGCTAGCATACAGTCTTCTGTGACTGTGGAATGTCCTGGGGAAGCGGGAGATGAGGCAGGGTGGTGTTGTGAGGACCTGGCGCTGAAGTGGCCACCTTCCAGCCTGATGGTCAGGTTTTGGCTGCATGTCAGAGTTTCCTGGGATACCCAGCTTACTGAGGTAGACTGGGCATCATTGTGGTTTAAATTTTAACAGGTGGTCTCCATGAGTAGTGGTCAGGCATTCATCATAATCTGAGCCCATCTGCAACCTCAAGAGGGCCTAGGCTGGGTGAATGTCTGGAGCAGGGGGCATTAGAGAATCTGTGTACAACTGGTGAGGTGAGGAGGGGCATGGCCAGGGGAAAGCTTAGAACACTTAGGACAGCACTGTCAGAATTTTGATGTTTTGTTGAAGTTTGAGAAAGTGCTTCTTTTTTGTGGTCATAGTTCTGGTATGTCTTAGAATAGTGGATACTTAGCTTTACATTTTCTACTTGACAGTAACATTAGATGATGGCACAGCTTCCCTCTGAGTCAGAGTAAAGCTGTTGCATTTTAAGAAACAGGTAGGCCCTGGCCAGTTTGGCTCAGCGGTTAGAGCGTTGGCCTGCGGTCCGCAGAGACCCGGGTTTGGTTCCCGCTAAGGGCACGTACTTCGGTTGCAGTTTGTCCCCGGCCCTGGTTGGTCGTGCGGGTGGCAGCCACTCGATGTGTCCCTTCACATCAATGTTTCTCTCTCTCTCTCCCTTCCTCTCTCTCCCTCCCACTCTATCTGTACAAAAAATGGAAAAATGTCCTCGGGTGAGGATAAAAAAAAAAAGAAAGAAACAGGTAGGATTGAGTTGGCAATATAGGACTTCAGTTCATCACTGGTTGATATCCACCACCTGCAGTAAGGTACACTCTCTCCATGTGAGTGTTTGGTTTCACCGCTCCGAACCTGCTGCAGGGCTCTCTTGCAGCTCCTTCTCAGGTGGGACTTCAGTGTGCTGAATGTAGTGAGAACAGTCTCTTAACAGCAGTCAGAGTTATGATAATGGAAAAAGCGAATGGAGCCACACAGTCAATGCATACTGTGCCTGCAGGGCCTGCTCTCCAAAAAGCTAGAGCAAAATGTCTACAGTGGGTTTGGTTGGTAGACACTTCTCTTCGGGGTTCAAAGGTATGCCAACTGTTGGCTTCCATATTTCAAGGTAGCTTGACATTGGCTTTGTAGGGATGGGGGCTTGGTGGATGAACAAATTGTAACCTTGTGATATGCATTCTCGTGACCTGGCCAGCCTAGGATCAAAGTGTGTGTGGATAGACAGGTTTGCCTGGAGGGCAGGAAGACCGCCCTGTTTGGAACTGGATGTTTTGTTTGCATGTGAATAGGTAAGGTTTGCATGTCAGTGGGTTGGAAGACCACCTGAAGAGGACAATGGGCTGTGGATGTCCAGGCAAGAATGGATTTGTTATTTTTTTTTTTTATCTTTGATATCTCTTTGCCAAAAAAAGCAAGAGACAGGGCAAGCTTGTATGGTCAGCAGTGGAACCATCTCAAGGAAGTAATTTACCTAATCAACATGTAACCTAGGGAGCCACTTTGCAGATAAATTGGGCTGCGTCTAGAGATCTGAAGCATTTTGCTCTTTTGTAATACTCCCCCTCACTCCTACCAGCGTGTGCTTGTAGTTTATTGCATTGCACTAACCCCTGGCTGGCCGAGAGAGACAGCAAGTAGTGACCCCGATGTGACTCGAATATGCAGCAACGTGATTCGACATGACCAGCAACATAGTGGTATGCAAAAGGGAATTAGTGATCCGGATCAAAAGTAAAAATACGCTCAAGTTTTCTGGAGTCAGTGGTACCCGGCTTGAGACAGCTGCCCACATATCTAGTGTTGTAAGGGATTTCCAATAAAACAGCATGGGATTGGGATTTTCTAAAGATCATCAACTTTATGTGAAAGTCTTATAACAGCTGCTGAAAGCAGCTCAGTGCTCTGTATCGGAATGGAGGCTCTTGCAGATTCTAAGGGATGTGCAGGAGTGCTGCCCATGGTTCCCTAAGGAGGGCACATTGGATTCTGATGTGTGGTTCAAAGTAGGGTGCACAAAAATTTAGTGAGTAATCTTTCCTAGACCCTTCTTTTATGGCGACTGTATTTTCAGCATTGCAGCTGCTAATTAAGGAAATCAGTCCCAGTAGAGCCGCAGCTCCAACCTCCCCTATGGAGGAGACACCGGAACTGACTGCCCCCCCCCATGGTCAGCAAAGGAGGAATGTTCTCCCCCTCCCCCACCTTTTGTGGAGGATTCCTCAGCCTCTCCAAGCCCAGCAATGGAAGGCTGTCTTAAAGAGGCCAGGAAAGCCAAAGATATTGAAGCTTTCACAGCTATAATACAGCCAGGTTAACAAACTGTGCATGAAAATTTGCCCTATCAGGTTTTTAAAGAATTCAGGCAAAGCATAATGGAAAATGGTTTGCAAAGTTCCTTTACTATAGGAATGTTGGAGGGAATAGCTGGTAGTTATCAGGTGACTCCCTGGGGTTGGAAGGCATGCATATAAACAGTGTTGACTCCCGCCCAATTCGAAGGGTGGAAGTTAGAATATTAGGAGGGAGCCATGATGCAACAGGCAATGGAAAATCTTGGAGCAGAGATTCCTATTGGACAAAACCTATTACTACGACAAGGAAACTATTTAAATTCCTGAGTACAGGTAAGGCAAGATGCTAGATTGTTTCGTCAGGCCTCATATTTAGCTACTACAGCTTGTTGAAGGGTTTGGGAGTCTGGAGGAAGGACAGGCTCTTTTGCAACATTTAGGCAAGAAGCACAGAATCTTATGTGTCATTCATTAATTGGTTGCAAGCAGCAGTAAGTAGATAGGTTGGTAATGCAGAAGTAGCTGATGCTTTGTTATTACAATTAGCCTATGAGAATACTAATGCAGATTGTTAGGTGGTACTCACTCCTTTGAAGGGAAAAACCTCAAATATAGGAAAATATATAAACACATGTCAGAATGTAGGGACAGAAGTGCATCAGTCCAGAGCATTAGCTGCTTCTCTCAGGATGTTGCAAATCGGAGGATTCAGTAAATGACAACAAGAGTCCAAATTATGTTTCTATTGTGGCAAGTCAGGACATTTTCAGAAGGAATGTAAAAAATGAAAGGTTGGAACCAGTGGCACTCCTACTAAACCTTGTCCTTGATGTGGCAAAGGGCTGCATTGGGCCAATCAGTATAAGTCTAAATTTGACAAAATTGGAAATCCCTTGTCAGAAACACAAGGAGGGGTGTGAGACAGACAGTTCCCTGGGTCCCTCAGCCTCACATTTTTCTCAGTTAATTAAGGGGAGGGTTGGAGACCTCCCAGCCTCCACAGCAGGAAGTACCGGCCTGGATCTTATCACCACCACAGAATTTTAAGGCAGTGGTTCTCAACCTTCCTAATGCTGCGACCCTTTAATAGAGTTCCTCATGTTGTGGTGACCCCAACCATAAAATTATTTTTGTTGCTGCTTCATAACTTTAATTTTGCTACTGTTATGAATCACCATTGGAAATATGTGTTTTCCGATGGTCTTAGGCAACCCCTGTGAAAGGGTCATTTGATCCCCAAAGGGGTCATGACCCACACAGGTTGAGAACTGCTGCCTTAAGGAGTCTGATGATATTTCTTACCTACTACAGGAATTTTTATGGCCCCTTGCTGGAGGGAAAGTTAGGTTTAGTGATTGGAAGATGTAGTTTAACAAGGAAAGGAATACAAGTGATGCCAGGGGTAATTAACTCAAATT